GGGGGGGGAGGGGGGTAGGGGGCACTGAACCTTTTAAATGTGCGTTTAAAAAATGTCTTCCAGAAACCATAAGTGCTATAAAGTGACACCTGCCGATTCAATTGCGGATTTTCCCGCCTAACTTGGTGATTTGCTAAACCAGCAGCTGACGAATCTATTTCGCGATGTCTACCCCCGTTTCCCAGGGATAATTCTTCTTTCAAAATGACTTATTTTTTCCTAATACCAATTTATGCAAACATTCAAAATCTAAATATTTAAATTGTCCGGTAGATTTTTCTAATATTTTAAACGCAAAGAAGATTAACCCCTGTCTCTACTCAGGCTAACTCCAGGTGAGGAAATCTTAACCAAATGTTTATTAAATATGGCAGATTTTATAGTTAGCTCATAAAGAGAACCAGAAGAAGTATAATTATGTTTGTTTAGAACACGCACAATCTAAAATTAACTTATTTTACAAAACTGACTCGGCATGACAAGACTTAGGAACAAAATGAAAAGACAAAAATCTAATGATTAAGCGAAACTAAAAATGCAAATTAAAACACTAAATAATTAGTTACTAAAACAAACAGGAACAAAACTGAACAAGGAAAACAAAACAAAAACACTTCAGATTTTAAGAAAAAAAAGGACACAGACCGGACGGGCAGGACACTAGCACGGATGAAGCTATAGTAAGCTGCAAAGAATAGGACAGCTTGGACAATAAAAGGACAAATACGAAGTAAAATGTAGAAAAGAGAACAAATAGACGGACACGCACAGGACAAATTTAGTGTGAGATATCGAGAAACAGACATTAAATGACACATATAGCCTGACAAATTCCATAGGATATAGAAGTATTAATAGGATAACAGGAGTATATGTATTGGACATATAATGACTCTAAGGACAGTATATAGGACAAATCTAGAGTAAATATATCGAGAAAAGGACATAAAATGACAGCGAGGAGTACACTTCTCAGATCATGATGAAATATCCTTTGTTATACACTTGGAGGATTTTGAAATAGAATTGGTTCTCTCTGGTTCTCTAATTTTCTTGTTTTATTTAGTCATCATCATGATCCGTCTCACATACTCAGTGTCATTCGTCTCAAGAGAAGAAAAAATACCAATTTAAAGAAAGGAAAAGGGGGTGAAAGTTAGCACACTAAACATTTTCTTAAAATACTTTCTTAAATTAGATTTTTTATTGGATTCAATCCAATTGATAAAAAATAATTGTTTAAACTATTTGATTAAAAATAATTGATCAAAACTACTTGATTAAAAATAATTGATCGTTTTGATTAAAATGGCATATCTTATCTAAAGTAAACAATATCATGCTTTTTACTCAATATTTGGATACCATTTTAACGGTTTTGAAAAAATAGGATTTCAAAGTTAAATTGCTTAAATCACGACTCCATTTCACAAAGAATTTAATATCTCCATTTTACTTTACTAAAAAAATTACTATATTTTCTTATATATATACTTTGCTTGTTTGTTTGTTTGTATCCAATCAACGTCAAAACGGTTGAACCGATCGGAACCAAATTTTGTGTGGGACTTCACATGACTCCAGCAGGGAAGGTTAATGAATGATCAAAATTTCAAAATTTGCCTCCAACAAAATTCGATTTCCACTAAATTTTGAACATCCGCAAACTTTGTTTTGTTTTTGTTTTACAATGTATACAAATAGAAAATGTTCACAATTAAAATAGAAGATGGGCGCGGAGCGCCTTTAAAGCCTAGTCTATATATATATACTTTGCTTGTCTGTCTGGGTGTTTGTTTGTTTGTTTGTATCCAATAAACGTCAAAACGGCTGAACCGATCGGGTCCAAATTTTGTGTGGGATCTCGCGTGACCCCAGGGAAGGTTTATGGATGATCGAATTTTCAAAAGTTTGCCTCTAACAAAATTAAATTTTGAAAATCCACGAAATTTTTTTTAAAAAATTCGCGAATTTTTTGTTTGTTTTTATTTTACAATGTTTCAAAAGAGAACATGTTCACAATTGCGCCCTAAAAACCCAGTATACATACATACTATAATTTATTAACAATTTAAACCCCGTTATTCTTGATTAATTATCCATTGTATTTGAGAATTTAGTAAGTTTCAACTTTACAACAATAGAAATATTACTTTTTTTATAACTTTATTTTTGTTATTTTTAAACCGATCATCCTTCCGTTTTAGCTTTTATGACATGACATTTTTTTCAGTCTGCTAGTCCTATCTGTTTAGTCTGCTAGTCCTATCTGTTTAGTCTGCTAGTCCTGTCTGTTAAGTCTACCAGTCTTATCTGTAAAGTCTTTAAGTCTGCTAGTCCTATCTGTTTAGTCTGCTAGTCCTATTTGTTTAGTCTGCTAGTCCTATCTATTTAGTCTGCTAGTTTATCTGTTTAGTCATCCAGTCCTATCTGTTTAGTCTGCTAGTCTTATATGCTTAATCTGCTAGTCCTATCTGTTTAGTCTTCTAGTCATATCTGTTTAGTCATCTAGTCCTATCTGTTTAGTCTGCTAGTCTTATATGTTAAATCTGCTAGTCCTATCTGTTTAGTCTTCTAGTCATATCTGTTTAGTCTGATAGTCTTATCTGTTTAGTCAACTATTTTTATCTGTTTACTCTGCGAGTCCTTTCTGTTTAATCTCCTAGCCCTATCTTTTTAGTCTATTTGATCTGTAAGTCCTATCTGTTAAGTCTGCCCTGCTAGTTATGTCTGTTTAGTCTGCTCTGCTAATCGACATGTCTGTTTAGTCTGCTCTGCTAGTCATGTCTGTTTAATGTGCTCTGCTAGTCATGCCTGTTTAGTCTGCTCTGCTAGTCATTCTGTTTAGTGTGCTCAGCTAGTCATGTCTGTTTAGTCTGCTCTGCTAGTCATAACTGTTTAATGTGCTCTGCTAGTCATGTCTGTTTAGTCTGCTCTGCTAGTCATGCCCGTTTAGTCTGCTCTGCTAGTCATGTCTGTTTAATCTGTAAAAATATTTTTAAATGAGATTTTGAATATAGCAATTTGAAAAAATGTTGAAAGTTCTGAACATTTTTTCTCAAATATTTTTATTGAATTATATCATTGGTTAAATTGACCACATGAACACATCCAACAGATGGTATCTAAAATGCCTCAATCCTTTTTTCGTCATTTATCTCTAATGAAACAAAGAAACACAAATGGCTGAAATTTTTATTTTGTTTAAATACAGGGTGTCCCACGAAACATGAGAGTTGGTGGATGATTTAGAATGTCTCCTTCCATAATTTGTTAAGTTGTTTGATACCAAAGACAATAATACAAATATTATATGGGAGTCATGTTATAGTAAAACTGGTTTCAAAGTAAAATATGTTTCAGAAAAGAAATTTTTATTGGAATAAACTGTAAAAAGCCTTTAATATCTAATAAAGTAAATGAAAGACGACTTTCATAACTATTTACCAACTGTCATGTTTCGTGGGACACCCTGTACTTGATTTGTAAGTTAGAGAAAAAAATGTTAGCTTTTGAAAATATTAAGCAATGATTTAAGTTCATATTTATATTGAAACAAATTGAACTTCCTAGATTTTGAAATTAGGAACAATATATTTTCTGTAAACATGCAGTTTGTTTTTAATGTATTACTCCTCACCCACAATTAGAATGAAACTTCATAGACGACTGTACAGAATTTACTGAGTCTTTTGTCTTTATTTTGCCTGAATGTTCATTGAAATTCAAAAATGTTGAGAAGAAATCATTAAAAACAAAAAATTGGCATTTAATGTTCTGGGTCAATAAGCTTTTTTCACAAATATGGGTTTTAGGCATTAAACACTATGCAAAATCTTTACTCTGACAGAAGATATAAACCTAAACAATTAATCGTTCCATCCATATAATCGATCGGAATTGCTTCGTTTAGGCTTTTATTTTCTGTCAGACTTAACATTTTGCAGTATTGTACAAAATCAGATAAAGATTTAAAATACTAAATTACGTAAGGTTTCGTAGATGTTTGGGATGCCTCGCAAAAAGTAAAAAATTCTAGAATATCTGAAGAAAAAAGACGGATATTAACGTTATTACAGTGTACACTTATAGTCACGTGAAAGTCTTAATCCTTTCTAAATAATTCTTATTTTAATATATTAGGATGGAGCTGATCTCGGAGGAAGACGACAAATCTAAAAGACGACATTTAAGGTCTAGATCCAGTCACCATTGTCGCAGGTTGTATGCCTATAAGGCTAATATGAAGTGAGAGCCAACCTTGATTTAGATACATTTTTAATCAACAACTCATAACTGGGAGAAAAAATGTCTAAAAATCCTCCAATATGAAATCATTCTTGAATCAAAATTGATAAATGGATGATGGTAAGCGTATAGTTTTCTTAGTGTTTGATCAAATTTGTAAAAAGAGTTTTAATAATATTTTAGTGTCTAAATTGGCTCTAAAAACTTACTTCGGAAGAACTATAATCAATATACAGGGTGTCCCTCGAAACATGACAGTTGAGAGACGAATTGAATATCGTCTTTGATCTTTGTAATAAGTTGCGACATTCATTTGTCAACTTAATTTTAGAAGTAAAATTCTTGAGTTAATAATCACAAAATATCCTTTGCATTTCCAAAATGTGACCTTTCTGTGTTATTACAAGATACTTTCGTTTAGATTTCGACATTTTTTTCATCTCCGGCAACTTTCAAAACACAAAAATGACAAACCACATTTTGGAAATTTCAGAACCAGGGGAATTTTTTGATTATTGAATTAGGTTAAAGGGAGTGACCGGCTATGCAAGGTAGTTGAACTGAGTATGCAGTGTTGTGGAAAACTTCTTTCGTATTCATTTGAGACATATTAAACTTTATAAAGATCTGTAAATCCTGAGTTTGAGCGCAAATTCATGAATTTATTCGCAGATTTCTTCAAATTCTTCAAATGTCGTCTTTTCAATAATAATTCTAGAAAATCTGCGAAAATCTTTGTGAATAATGAGAAACCAGAATATTGAGAAAATAGAAACTAATAATTGAACAAGATTACTTATTTCGATGATAAGATTAAATTTTATTTTCTCAACATGTTCATATACATGACGTCCGTAGCTTATTGTAGATTTTTTTTTACATATTATGTCGTCGTTATTTAATAATTTAAAAAAACTAATTCTGAAAACGTATCCACCCCCAAAGTAGGAGTTTTGAACGTCGAATTTGAGCTCAAACTCAGGATTTACAGATCTTTAAAAAGTTTAATATGTCTCAAATGAATCCGAAAGAAGTTTTCCACAACACTGCATACTCAGTTCAACTACCTTACATAGCCGGTCACTCCCTTTAAAGAATCAATGTTTTCAATGTTTTTTAACTAATTCAATTATTTGCAGAGGAGTAAAACACCATTCCTCGCATTGTAAAAAACACAGCAAGAGCTCTGATGAAACATCACATAATAAGGTAGGAAGGAGAACAACATTATTTATCAAATATGAAAATAAAAATGTGCAGCGTATTGGATCTAAAGCATTGATCAATTTATATTAAAATGGTGTCATTTAGATAGTAGATTTATAGATAACAACTGAAATAGTTCATTCCAGTTGATATGTCTTAATCAGCTGGTATTTCTTAATCAACTGATATTTCTTAATCAGTTTATATATCTTAATCTCTTAATCAGCTGAAAAGTCTTGATCATTTGATATATCTTCGTCGGCTCAAAGATATATCAGCTGAAAATGTTTGATCCGTCAAATATCTTTAGCATCTTCATCAGCTGATATCTCTTAATCAGTGGATATCTCTTGACCAGTGGAAATACGAGTATCTTAATTAGTTGAAATATAATATCAGTTGATATCTCTTTTATAATTCTTTATCAGCTGACATAACCGAATCAGCCTATATATCTTAATCAGTTGTTATTTGGTATGTCACTGTTTAGATGTCTTATCATAACTCATGAACCCTTTGACCGATATTTTCTATGATAAGTGGGTTTACTTGTATATGGGAAAACTGCAGGCAACGCTACCGAAGCAAGTATTATAAATAAATTATTTATCTATCCTGATTAGCGGACATGTTATATATCGATAAGTTAAAATCAACTTGAGGGAGAATTCTGGAAAATATTTAATCTCTTCATTCCATCCTTCGTGAATTCATAATCATGATATTTGCCAACATTCTGATCATGATCAATTGAATATTTTCTAGTTCTTGTATATATACTTCAAGTAGACCCACGATTATGTAATTTCTAAATTTCTAAGTTTGGTAAAATTGGATAAAATTAGACTGACCTTTATACACTCTCATCAGGATTCTCTAGTCTCTACATATTGATGCAACCGCCTTCCGAGCTGGAAACTTAAGAGAGTGTTAATTAACAAAACTCAGTTTTGAGAAACTCAAAAATGTACCTGTACACATTTAAGTTGATCTCCAAAAAATTCAAAGTTGATGACGAACTTTAAAAGTAATTGTAGACAATAATAATTTATAATTTTATTTGAAAGTTTCAACAAAACCGAGTATAAGATACCCAGTTTCAACGAAACCAAGTTTCAGATACCCAGTTTGAATCTATATTTACTAATTTTCAAGTTTGAGTGTCTAGGCCGTTCTATCTGGCAGATCTAACACATGCTGTTTCATTTATATCAGAGGTTTCGTGTTTATGGCTATATAGATAGATTAGATATACAACCACATCTCTCTATATCTGTCTACTATTATCTGTCCAGATAACAACTGTTTAACTGTCTTTCTTAATCTGTTTAAATTGAACATGTCTATCTGTCAATCTTAATCTGTTTAAATTGAACATGTTATATGTCTATCTTAATCTGTTTAAATTTAACCTGTTTATCTGTCATCTTAATCTGTTTAAATTGAATCTGTTTATATGTCTATCTTTATCATGTCCAGTTAACAACTGTTTATCTGCCTATCATTATTTGTCAAGATTGAAGCTGGTTATTATAATTTTCAAATATAATCTATTTCAATCTTTCTTTACCCAAACTGGAGAACAAAACTTTTTAATGTTTGAAATAAAATTCAAGATTTAGTGTTGCAGAAATACACAAAGCATATGGAATTTCACTTCTTTGGTCTATGCATCTCACTCAAGAATGCAAAAAATTGAATCTTTGCCACAAACTTAAATGATATAATCTTTACTTGAATCCTGATGGTGTAAACTCAGATTATTTGATCTAACATAAATCATAATTTAAAATATCTAAGGTCCACAACTTTGGGTTGCAAAGATAAAGGGATTAGAACCGGGGGCGGAAACGTCATGTATGTGTGTCTGTACCAAAGGAGTGTGTGTGTAAGTAATACCGAATTGAAATTGTGTACTGTAGGTATATACACTACAGTACATACGAATCTTTGTATTTGTACAGTCTAGGTGAGTACATTTGTTTATTGTTAATTGTTTACTTAAAAATAAGTTTAATATACATGTAGTATATTATTTATATATTTAAGTTTACACTATAAGCCGAATTTCCATGCAAAGAATATAATTTGATCTAATCGTTATTCAAGCTTAATTATAATTAACAACATTGTTCTGCAATTTCCTTCACTGTAGTCATGTTGTGTGTCTGTGCCAAAAGAGTGTGACCAAGTTTCAGATACCCAGTTTGAATCTATATTTACTAATTTTCAAGTTTGAGTGTCTAGGCCGTTCTATCTGGCAGATCTAACACATGCTGTTTAATTTATATCAGGGGTTTCGTGTTTATTGCTTAGATATACAACCACATCTGTCTATTATCTGTCTACTATTATCTGTTCAAATAAAAACTGTTCATCTGTCTATCTTAATCTGTTTAAATTGAACCTGTTTATATGTCTATCTTTATTTGTCCTGTCTATCTTTATTTGTCCAGATAACAACTGTTTACCTGCCTACCATTATTTGTCCAGATTGAAGCTGTTTTTAATAATTTCAAAATATAACCTATTTCAATCTTTCTTTACCCAAACTGGAGAACAAAACTTTTTGATGTTTGAAATAAAATTCAAGATTTAGTGTTGCAGAAATACACAAAACATATGGATTTTACTTATATGGTCTTTGCATCTTACTCAATTATGCAAAGTAATTGAGTCTTTGCAACAAACTCAAATGTTATAATCTTTACTTGAATCCTGATGGTGTAAACTCAGATTATGTGATCTAACAGAAATCATAGTTTGAAATATCTCAGGTCCACAACTTTGGGTTGCAAAGATAAAGGGATTAGAACAGGGGGCGGAAACGTCATGTGTGTGTGTCTGTACCAAAAGAGTGTGTGTAAAGTTTACCGAACCGAAGGTGTGTACTGTAGGTATATACAGGACATACGAATCTCGGTACAGAGTACATTTGTTTATTGTTAACTGTTTACTTAAAAATAAATTTAATATACATGTAGTTTATATATTTAAGTCAACACTAGAAGCCAAATTTCCATGCAAAGAATATAATTTGATTAAAGTTTACAATAAACTACTCGTTATTCAAGCTTTATTATAATTAACAACATTGTTCTGCAATATCCTTGACTGTAGTCATGTTGTGTGTCTGTATCAAAAGAGTGTGTGTAAGGTTTACCGAACTTGTCTTCAAAGCAGTGCGACTGGCTTTCTCATGCCAGACCAGTGCCATTTTCTTTCCCTTTATTCCTATTCCATGGATTAGAACATCAGAGTTTGTGGCAAAGACTCAATTTCCTTATCAGTTTCTAAATTGGTATGTCCGGCCTACAGATTTGGTAATTAAAGAATGGTGGACATAGATTATGTATTGAGATAATAACTGTTAATTGAATGTCAAATTTGACAAATTTAGCTCGAAAAATAATGTCGACATTTGTTAGTTTTGAAAATGCGCAATATTAAACAGAAAATCCATGAATTTTTTGGTTATTTTAAACACGATAATCAATGGCGACTTGAGGAGCAACTGTTAAAAGCTAAAATATGTTAACAGTTGGTCTAATCATATATACATATATTTACTATTGGTCTAACTTCTAAATATATTTATTTATTTATTTTTCTATCTATCTATTTATCTATTTATCTATGACAAATAAGGGAAATCTATTGTACATGAATTATTATAAACTGTCAAGATATAGCTTTAGGCCTTAGATAATTCAAGCAGAGCCATACTTGTAAACATTCAACAGATACGTGGTACATCTCGGGCGCTTCGTGGCGCTTATTCAGACTATTGTCATCTAGCTTTATAAAAAACGTTTGACTTATAGTGATAGACAGTTATTAAATTTATATATTCGTCATGAAAAAAGTTTCTTAACAAATTTCTTTTTTTTTATAAATAAATACATAAATAGTACTTAAAATTAGAGCATTGATTTGGGATATGAAGTAATCCAATAATNACAGAACTCATTTCGCGTCATAACATATAATATAAATGCACATATATAGATCAGCAAATATTATTGCAAACTGATTGTTGCAAAATATTTTGCACAGCTGGTGCAGTTTAGCTGACATATCTATATCTGGATCATTTTTAAGTTCTAGGCCAAGTTTTTCACTAGCTCAACATGTTAAAAAACATTTCTTGGGAAAAAGTTAAAATCAAATTGAAAATCGGGTAAATGTTTTCATAAAACAATCATCAATTCAAATGAATTGTCAATCATAGTATCTTACACAAATTAAGAAAGTAAGTAATTCATTTGTAAAATATAAGAAAAATGCAAAATAAAGTTTTTGATGAAAAAAAACCTCCAATAACAGAGATTGTGAGATTATTACCCCCTCTCGCAAATTGGAAAAAGTTAATAATTTTTTTTACTTTTTATTACTTTTGAAGTTGTGAATTGTTAGAATTCTTCGATGTTAAACTCACAGTTTATAGTAATAAGAATTTTAATCTATATAAATATTAACAATAATAATACAGTGGTAAGCGATAGTATCATAACAATGAGGACGACTTTCCATTTAAGTTTTCATTGTTGACAAGTTTTTTTCGAATTACAATTTTACAAGTAATCAAAGAGAAGCTTTTTTAATTAAAAGCTTCTCTGGACTTCTAAGTTTAAGTTTATCAATGCTGTTTAAAAACTTGATTTAAATAAAACTTAAAATCGAAAGTCGTCTTTTTGTATTGATAGAATGGCCTACCACTGTATATATTTTTCAACTGGATTTATGGGTGAAAATTCATTTTACAGGGAGTCTCACATGTCAATTTCTGGAAAAGTAAAGATGACCATCTTCGTGCGAATTCTTGAAACAATAACTGTATGAAATTTTTGGGATTTACAAAATTTGGTCTGTTTTCAAAATATGCTAAGAATGTTATCTACAGTACTCTCAATTCTGCCTTTTTTCTTAAACCATGCTCTTTGTCACATAAATTAAATTCCTTTTATTAAATTTTTTATAAAATATACAATTTGTATTTCCTT